AGATTTTATCAGATGGTCTAATCAATAGGATCAGATTAAAAGAAAGTCTTCATGAATAAAATGTCTTGACTGAAACTCCCAAATATTGAGAATATTGAACTCTTATGCTTGGAATAACTTTTAACACGCTATGTAGATATTGTTTCTGCCCTCTTAGGCCAAGTCAGAGTCCTTACCAATTACATTCTCCTTCAGAGAGTATGCAATAGTCATGTTAACCCCTTAACTCTCTTTGAAATAGCCCCAGATATTTGCCTCAGCCTTGTCTCTTGGAAAAGAAGACAATTTCTTTTCATAAGCTTGGCTGGCCTAAATAACTTGGTGATGTTTTTCTCCTGTCTGATATCAAAAGACTCACAAAATAAGGTAGCTCATTTAAAACATTTTCCTCATGGTTGTCCTGTTTCCCCATTCAGGAAAAAGATTATTGGTTACCATGGCAATCAGCTTCCACAGCATTCCATTCTAAGTAACTGCACAGGTATAAGACAAGCTTTACTACTTGTTCTTTACTGTAGCTCCGCAGATTTGTATATTTTTCCTGCCTGTTGTTTAGAACAATCAACCAACCAAACAACCAACCAAAATTAAAAAAAATCTGAAGTTAAGCAGGTTAATTTTTTCCAAAGGCAACTTATCCTTTTCTGATGATTTAAAATACTTACATAAATAGCTGTACAATAATTTTCCTCACAGCACCATCTGAAAACTTTCTGGTATATTCTTTTACAATTCTGGGATTATATTAGAATCTCCTTAATCATATTTAGAAAAGAAATGATTAATTTACAGTAAAAATCAGAACAGGAGATATTCATGAAATCATTTCCCATGTGTTCCGTATCATTTCTTTCCTGAAGATAATATCTAATTTCCCTTCCTTCACCACTACCAAACTCTCTAACAAAATAGGGCAGACACTCAAAAGAGCAAAAGCTGTCCTCAGGCCAATGCCTTGGAGATGTCAAACACTTATTTTCCGAGCCCTAACACTATTAATTTTCATGTTTCTGTTCAGAACATTATTTATAACAACTAAAGTTGCTTTATCAATGGCCAAACACAATTCACTGGTGCCCAAAATGCTATATTGTAGATAAGGTGGGATGATTTTGGAGAATCAACTGGGTAAGTTCTGTTTTCCTACAAGGCTAGCATTCTTTTATCATTTGCTGGTCATTTAGCTTCTTTATAATTATGTGGCATAAACCGGGAATCTTGAAGTTCCTATTGTATGGATAGATATCTTTTTATCTATTATTTCTACTTATGACTTTATTTGAGGCAAAAAGTGGAATTTGATAATTAAAATGGAGCTTGAAAGGGATTTGCTATTGTTTAATGTTAAGTAATTAAAAATAAAAGTTGACTGTAACTCTCTTTCCTGCAAAGTTTTTCTATCTCCTAGATATCTTTTCATTGAAAAAGACATATATCACGACCAATCTATGAACACCCATTGAATATTGCCATCTCCTATTAAGGGCATGGAAGCAAACTCTGTAACTAAAACAGATGCCTTCGCCCACAGCTTCTAAAATCAGAGGGTATTCATAAACCTCTCTACAAATTCTCAGAGTATAGTGGGAAACAGAAACTGTTAAAAATTTGAAACTTCACTAAAGTTTAAGTTACTGTCTTTTCCGGTAAAAGAAAATATATTACTTTCTAGGAAGCTCATTACTTTAAAAAATATAAGCACTCAAAATTGGAAATTCATAGCTAGCATTGGGTTCCATCAGCTCAGTTTCAAGAGAAAAGATACTTTCTTTTAGATGGAAAATCACAGAAGGGTTCTCTGATTCCTCTCAAAACTGTATTAGAATTGCTTTAAAGGAGAAAAGTCAAGCACTTTACTTTTCCTTTCATAAATTTTATTTTTCTTGAATAAGTATTGCATTGTAACATAAGTTTCAGGTATGAATCACTGAGAATCAACATGTGTGTGGACTACTTTAAGTTTACTGCTAAAATCCAATTCTATCTTTCATCGTACAATGAAGCAGACATTTCGTGACACAATGTGTTATTTATTCCCTTCTATACTTATTACAATTCCACATACATTAGAAAGAAAAATTGTCCAATTATTTATAGAATTTTCTAGATTAAAAGTAGAGGCTACAGTTAAATAATCACATGATCTGTAAGTAATTGTATCACACTGTACCATTTGATTTATATAGAAAAAAAGTTGCTCTCAATCTTCTCTTGACAGATGAGCAGCTGAGAAGAGCTTCAAGCAGAAAAAACTAATGAAGGGTCAGTCTTCTAAAAGGCGGATATGCTCCTTTGACAGCTGGCTGCAGATAAGGGGAGGAAAAAAGATTATAAATCAGAGGAAGTCATGATGAAAGGATAAATGGAGTGCTTGATATGGTAAAGTGAGAGCTTAAATTAACTGGATGGGAAGAGCAGGAAAGTGAGATAAGTGATTTAGTTCAGATAAAAAACAGTTTGTAGATAAAATTCAGTAAAGTAATAACTTAATTTGTATTTTAATTTGAATGAGGCAAGGGATGACATTACTGTAGAATGGCAGTTTTATTGTTTTAATATTTTATAATAAGAAGCTCCATTTATTTCTTATTTGAAATATGAGTGAGTACAATTTTCTATTAATATGATAATATTAGACAAATAGGAAGCAGGGGTTTGCTTTTGATTAACCTTTGCTATAGCCTTAAAGAAAAAATCCAACAATAAGCAAAACCGTGATTTTGTATTGTGGCGATAACCAGAAAGCCCAGCTTACTTGCAAAATTGCTAACTTTTTTGGCCGGTGTCCTTTAACTTGATCAATAAAATGTAAATGCAAAAAGCTGCAAAACCAATGTCCTTAATTAGAAATCATGTGAGTAGTTTGACATTAAAAACATTTTTTAAATGACACGATTTAAATTCTCTAGTTTTCACTTCATTTATTTAAACTGCATTCATATCCATTTATAGCTCTCTTAACAATTATTTTATAGGTTGATTATGCTATGTCCTGGATTTTCCAGGTCACATCTGATTCCAAATATTTTGTCTATTATTAAATAAAGTGTCTAGATTTCAGTTTGGAAAACGTGGCCACTGCATTTACAGACTAACTCTGAAATAGCAATGGCCTTTGGCATTATGTAGTAACTATTTCTGGGTCATGATTATCAAGTTAAAACAAATTTCATTTTTTGAGTCTACGTAATACTAACCAGACAAAATAATGAGGCTATTTAAAGGATGTAGTAATTTGCAATTGGGAAAACACTCACAATATGCTTTATTATAGGCACAAAAACATAATTAGTAACCCTTTAGACCACCACTCATCCTTGACATATAGAAAATGAAAACTGCTTAAGAGATGTTGTAATTATGTATTATGTGGTTAAAACTAAGGACAAAAGCAACCTAAATGTGTACGTGTTAACATTAAACTGGAATTCATAGTCTTGATAAACCAGAACATAGAAGGTATATACTAGCATTGCTAAGTATGTGATAATTTCGAGTGAACTGTTAAGACTGACTCATTATCCTATGTTGAAGCATCGCTGTTCTGCAAATGAAAACATTTAGATCATCCAACGGCCTCTCCTCCTTTAATTATTATCCTTTATAACGTAATATTTGAACATGGCTCCCTTCTTTATTTTTTGGTGATTTAGGTAACCACCAAAGGGGTGGTGGTGGTGGGGGTGGTGGTGGTGGTGGTGGTGGTGGTGGTGGTGGTGGTGGTGGAGTTTAAAAATCTACTATGTGCAGAAGAGCATTTCATAATTATTTCGAAAAATAGGATTTTTCCCAAGTTTGTTGGAAATATTCCATCGCGAGTGATCAGGCTCTCCTCCCACATTTCGCGTTAGTTGGGATTTGAGAAGCCCGGGAATGCTGCCGTATCAGGGGTGGGAGTGGGAGATAGGATATCACCGGCTTGACACTTCGGCACTGTTGCTATGAATGAATCACTCGTGTTTGGCACATTTCTTGCAAGGAAATCTCCTCCCGTCTCTTCCTTCTCCGAGCTCTTCTCGGGCTGTCTCCTGCGCTTTGGCCTTTAAAGAGAAGTGAGAGCAGGTGGGCACAGAGGAGCTCGCCCAGTCCGCCTCCCCCTTCGCCTTCCCTAATTTAGCAGTACTTCCGGCCGCGTGACATCATCCCCCGCACCCGGTGACGTAAGCGGCGGGTGACGTGTGTGCGGAGAGGAGCGCGCTGACGTTGCTATTTAAAGGTCCTCCTGCGGGGAGGATGGAGACACAGCGCGAGCACCTGGTGCGGGGCGCGGAGGAGGCTGTGGCGGCCGCGAGCGGGGCCGGGAGCCAGCACTGGAGCAGAGCGCGCCGCCCGCCCGCCGCCGGCCACTAGGGGAGGGGGGAAAGGAAGGAAGGACGGACCGACGGACCCGCCGGCCGGCCGCGCTCCCCACGAGGGCCGGCGTGGCCCCACACCACCAGCCTCCTCTCAGCCCTCGCGGCCGTCGCCTCCTCCGGCTGCCCGCCGGGCCGCTCTGGGCTCTCCGGACGGGTCAGCCTCAGCCCCCGGCGCCCGGCTGCGGTTCCGCGGCAGCTGTCGCCTCCCGCTCCCGCCCGTGAGCAGGGGGAGGGGCCACTCGGGCCCCCTCCTCGTTCTCCCCGCCCCCTCCCCCCCCCCGCAGCCCGCTCTCCCGCCGCGCTGGGCTCACGCGGGCGGCGCTGACCCGGGAAGCTGCGCCCTGCGCTCTGAGGCGGAGGCAGCGACGGGCTTCAGGCCGCCCGGGCCGGCGCTGCTCTGCCGAGCGGGAGCTGGAGGCCGGCGGAGGCGGGTGGTGATGGAAGTGTGAGGAGGCGGCGGGCCCGGGGACTGTGAGGCGGCGCGTGGCGGCGGCGCGGAGCGTGAGAGGCGAGGAGCAGGGGTGGGGGCGCCGGAGCGGCGGCTCTCCCGCGGCTTCGAGCTCCGCTCCCCGGCCCCCGACGCGGGATTCGCCGCCCGCTTCAGCTCGGGCGCGCGCCCGTCGACCCTTCAGCCCCGTCCGCCGCTGCTCGTCCCGCCCCGGAGCTGGGGGCAGGGAGCCGGGGGCTGCGTGGGGCTCGGCGCTCTGATTCATTCATTCTTCGCCGAGGAGCCTCCGACCTGCTGCTGCTGTGTTCCAAAGAGAGGAGGGAAGAGGGTGCAGCCGCGAATGAAGGGCCGCGCGCCGACCGGGCTCCATTGTGCTCGGCGACGGGGGGCGGGAAGGGGCTGAGGGAGGTGGGATCGGGCCCCCTCCCCCTGCGCCCCGGCGTGCGCTGCGCCCCCAGCCTGCTGCCATCCTGGAAATGGCTCCGTTTATTCTCCTCGGGAGAATGAATCGATCCTGCCCAGCCTTCTCTTCCTCCTCCCCACCTCCTCTCTGCTCCGAGTCTTAGAAGGGGACAAATTAAAAAGACAGATTCCTATGTGGAGTGCCGTGCACGTCTCGAGCTGCCGAGTTTGCACTTCAAGGAGATTTTTCTATATCGCTTTTTCTAATGTGAGCGCAGGGAAGCAGTGGCTTGCTGCTTTTAGGATTTTTATTTTCACGTAGGGATCTCTAAAGTGCACGTCGCATTGGGTTGCACGCTCCACCCCCAGGGACCTGGTGTGGTGGAGAAATTTGAACCCGCAGCCTTAGTAGCACCGAAAAGGCCGAGTTACCTGGCTTTCCCTGAGTGTCGTGGAGGACATGAACAAAATGACCACCGAACTCATTTTTTATAGGACTCGGTGAAGCTGGATTCTGCGTTTTCCTACACGTAGACTCTTTTTTGTGGAATAGAGTTGACCGCTGTTTCCTCCGCGCAGCATTTTAACTCTAATAAGCAAATGCCACCTCTGTTTGAACGTTTTGGTATTTACGAAAGAGAAATCATTTTACCTAAGGGAACTAATTGAATTGTCAGCATCACCGAAATACCTCCAGAAAAGGATCTCGGGGGGTGGAAAAGCAACTGCGAAATAGCAGACGGAGGAATTCCTTTGGAAGTTATTCCGTAGCATAAAAGCAGAAACTTCAGAGCAAGTTTTCTTTGGTCAAAATGGGGTAAGGATTTTTGTGCTTAACACAGCTTCGAATCTGTTTATGTATGTGTGTTATTGAGCGGTGGTGGCGATTGTCTGTGTTTTATGTTTTCAAAGAAATTTGCCACCATGCTAAGCTGGTCGCACTTTAAAAAGAGGTGTGCTAACCTTTTAACAAGTTATTTTTGTAAAGTGACACCGGCGGTCATAATTAAGAAACATTTTTTGTTATACGAATATAGTTTTATTAGTAATATTTGGAATACATTCTTCGTTTTACTGGGCAAAGTGCACGATCAGTTTGTAATCAAAATCATGTTGTTTTAGGTTTTGTTGCCGGTATCTTTCAAAGAGAACTACTGCTTTCTCTCTGTACTTTGCACAAAGGGACGATTGTAAAGTAATGAGTGGTTGGAGTACTGTTCTTGAAAACGATCCAGTGTGTATTGTTGCCCTTACTGTGCCCTCTCTTTTGCCCTTGAATAGCCAAAGCTAAAATACATAGATGTATTGGGGCATTTGAAATCAAGAAAATCTGTGTGTCCTACTGATGGTCTCCACAGTGCCAGGCACTAGGTAGGAAAATCAGAGCCTCAGTAGGAAAAAGCTTTGAACGAACTTGTTTACTTTTTTTGTTTGTCTGTTTTAACCCTTTTCAGCTCAGATCTTTGTGTAACATGTCAAATTTACACCCTTCAGATTCAAAGTCAAAGAGTGCTTTTTCCAATCTTGTATTAACTCTTCAGACAGTTACTTAGTAAAATTCTTAGTGACTCTTCCTCAGTTAAGCCAGAAACTCATACTATATTGAGTAATGACTAGTCATTTCACTTACAGATTGTAGATTCTTCTCTTCTAAGAAGAACTTCCAGAATTTATTCTCTCTCTCTTTCTCTCTGTGCCTGTGTTCTGGTTAACACATCTGAAGTGTAGTTAAGGGGCAAGGATTGAAAAGATAGATTCTGAAATTCACCGTGACAGTTTGAGGATATATGCACACTCCTTAAAACTTGGAAAATTTTTTGATAGTACTATCTTTTTTGCTGAAGTTAGAATGTGAAGCTTATTGAACAACTTAAAAAATTTAGAATATATGTTGTAGGACTTCATCAGGAATTATAGAGAGTGACAATTGTTATAAAAATTTAAATGACAAGTGATGAGAATATGTATAACTTGCATGATTTGGGAAACTGCAGTTTAAATATCTCATTCTATTTCTAGTGTTGCTATTAGTAGCTTGGTTATCTGAGTAAATTACTTAACCTCTGTGAACTCTTATCTACAAAGGAAAGACTTAGATGAGTTTTAGGGATTTTTTCCAGTCTGAAAATGTGATTTTTTTTTCCTCCACCTTCTTTCCATTTTAATAGTTACTAGTTGGTTTCTTGAAGTAAATCTTTCAGATGGAGACATTGTATTCTCTAAGAGGTTTTCAAGCACCTAGGCTGGAAAACAGTTGTATTTGAAAATTATTTTTGCATGAATTGCAACAATTTTAATGTGAAAATTACTACTATTCAAAATCTTTGAAATATGGCTTCCCTTGACAATCTGCAGCTCTTGTTTAACATGTGCCAGAGCAAAAAAAAAAAAAAAGAAAAAACCAAGTGGCAGTTTTTCATGTTGAAGGCTGCATTCTCTCTAGGTGGTGGAGTGGTAGCATCATGAAAGAAAATCGATTTTCCACAACCTTTAGGCTGCATGAATGTCCATTATTTTACCAGGGGAGCTTGAGGTGAATTTAATACCAAGGGCTCTGATATTTAAAATATGAAAATAAGTCTTTACACAACATGCATTTAGACACTTCAGTGAAATGTGATTTGTTTAGAATCTGGTTTATTTGTCCTTATTTTAAAAGAACTTCAAAGAGGTTGAAGGAGAAAGGAGTGAGCATTTATGGCATTTGTTTTTTTTTGAAAGTCTGTATTTCTCATCAATAGTGATTTGGTTGCTGTAAGTTGTCAAGAGAAGATGGTGAAAGTAGAAGAGAGGAGCATACAAAGAAGGCATTTATGGACATTTTCACACTTTCTAGGTATTTATGCCTAGCATGTTTGTGAAATAAGCATAGCCTGCTAGATCTATTTATATCAAAAGGCCTTTAAAGTTTTAAACCAAGGCAATCGTAAATGACCTTACTCTGACAAGTGCCTAAAATTTAATATTGTGGGTGGAGAGTTTCATATATGAATTTATTTTTGACTACTGTTAGTTAATAAGAATTTGTCTTTGCTTAATTATGGATATAATTGCAAGTCTAGGGTCAAATTCTAAGCAAAAGGAATTATTTGAAAACACAATGAGTGATTAAGCTGAAAACAAGTCTATGACCCTTTAATTGCAGTCTATGAACTAGGGTGGAAAGGGGGTAAGAACAGCTGAAACTGACAGTTGGCAGCGTCTGTCAAAGTATCTTAGGTGCTCTGTGAACTGTGTTTCATTGCACTGAAAGCAGCTAAAGTATTGGTTTGTGAAACAGGTGTTTCACACCCCTGAAAATTAGAGCTTTTGTGTAAGATAAGGTCTGTGAAAAGCTTCAAAGTCTCAGTGAGGAGCCTGTTAGGTATGACCCCTTCTCCCATCTTATCTCATAATGAGAGAGTGAGTCATTAGCTATTTCAGAACTATTAGAGTAGGCAATGGAAATCAAGCACCCTCAACTAGTTTTTTATGCTACCTTTTGTTTGGCTTAACTCATATTGGCAATTTTGTACCATCAACAAGGGAATAGCGAACACCCACTCCGTTAAGAGTTATTTATAACATGTGGTTCTTCCTGCAATTGGGGTCTGATAATGCTGTTTTTGATTAATCTCACCTGCTTATGGAAACCTTGGGAAATCCATTTCTCTGACCTTCCTCAGCAAACTTCCTGAAGTGTGGAAGTGGGTCCTGTAGCATTGCAACCTGAACTGAGTCCCTTGTTTGCTGAGAGAGGAAACTGACACCTCTTTCTATCTCAGGCTACTTTGTGCCGCTCTCTGGGGCCTTATAGAAAAAATACGGAAACCTTTGTCCTGTACTGCAATGTGAGTGAACTTTGTTCAAAACGAGCAATCATTTTTAACATTAGAGAAGTTATATGCAAATCTCTAATTACTTGTCCATTTTAGCAATGTTGAATCCCTGTCATGTAGTAACTCAGTGTTGCTGATATGGTCGATTAAAACATGTTCCTTCCCTCAGAGAGTTCGTAATTTAGAAGTTGGAAGGACAGTTAAGCTTAAAATTAAGAAGTAAAATTGAGAAGTGAAATGTCTAAGGGGAACCAGAAGCACAGAGTGTGTATGTTTATAATATTAGCTGCTGAAGGAAGAATAAAAAAGATTTTGTGGAGGTGGTGATAGGTATTAAACTCTGAAAGATGAGTGCAGGTGAACTTGGTAGGCAAGTGAAAGGCCATTCAAGGATAGGGAACAGTGTGATTGGCAGCACTAAGTTGAGGTATTGTGAAAATCTGGCATGAAGAACTTTGCTTGGACTCTACAGGATGTAAAGCAAGAGAGTTCTGAAATCCAGTGCAGGGGCCAGGTTAGAGAGTCTTGAAGCACAAATGAAAGCTGATATATTTCATGTCCTTTTTGGTAATGACCCATTATAGTAAAATATACATTTTAACCTCAAAACCTAGTGTGCGTATGATAAAATGCCACAAAATAATGTGCATTGTGTGATGTACTCTGGTATTTTCTATGCTATTTGATTCAGTTTTATTTTTAGGAAAGAAAGACAGTTGGTACCCACTAAATTGATTTAACAACCCAGTGGTGGCATCTGGTAATTTGAAAATTAGTGATATAAAGAGTCAATGAGGTAGAGTGAGAAAACAGTTAAAAAACTAAATTGTAGTGTCCTGTGGAAAAACCAAACCAGAGCAGTGAATCCTGGCCAGTAGGGTAAGTCGATAGCTGGGCAGGTCCTAGAAAATTCCAGAGTGGGAAGAGGGGAGGGATGGAGATTGAGATGTGTGTGGTTGGTTGGTTGGGTAAGATTTTAGAATTACGGCATTTCATGTGCAGAGGTAAAAATGTTGGAAAATACATGGTAATCTTCCCAGAGATATACTCCTCAGATGGACCATGAGAAAGTAATTTGGGAATTTGAAAGGATTTTCTTACTGGCATAAAAACTGCACGGAAAGTGACAACACTTACAATGCAAGAGTACTTGGAGTTGTAGATAAGATTTGCCTTATAAACTAAAAAGTCCTATCACCTGAGAGAAACAGATTAATTAATTTTATATCAACATATTAGGAGGGTCTCAACCATAAGAATTTACATATTTTGTATACAGACCTTCCTCTCCCCCCACCCCAGTTTTATTGAACTTAGTGGATCTATATAGCACCTTATTGGTTTAAAGTGTACAGTATAATGATTTAACAGATTAATATACTGCAAAATGATTACCACAAGTCTAATAAATGTCCATCTCATATAGCTACATTATTTTTCTTATGAGAACTTACGTGGGAATAGGTTTAGTTCTGAATGTATTAATGGACTAATAGAGCCTACTGTGCTCCTACTGATCTTTTAAACTTTTTTTTTTTTTTTTTTGGGACTTTTTTTGAGTATTTACTTGCTCTTTCCAAATATTCTTTTCACCTACTCTGTAATCCTATTGCTATGTACAGTGAGGACTTTTCAAAAGAAACTTGGTTTCTCTTTGCTCTTACTTCCTTTTATCTCTGTGATTTCATCCCATTTCCCCCCTTGTCCTAGTTAAAACAGGCAGGAGATTAATAGCAGTGAACTCTGAGGGTTTTTTCTCTTTGATACAATGCTTTTACTTGCTTATAGGTAGTAGGAAAAACTTAAGTCCACTTCCACCCCCAAACCTGCTTCTTCCCTAATTTAACTCCTGAAAATTTACTCTTTTCCTCCCAACTTCTGTTTGTTTCAGAGTTGGGATTGGTTATGCTTGTCTGCTCCTCCCCTCACACTATTCTCTCCAAAAAGAAAATTGAAGTTTTTTCCCACAAGTTTGGTGATAATGGGATGGATTCACTGTCAACTGACAGGTAACACTATCTATATGGGATAGCCAGTGGTGTTACTGTGCCCTGATATAGGAATGTTATTTATAATTTATAAATAAGATATTTATGTTTTTTAAAAAACAAAATATTCTAGTTTTAAAAATGGGAAAAACCTTTAAAAATAGGTACATATTTAAGAAGGCACAATTTGAATAAGGGGAGGAGAATCAAGATTATGGTACTTGAGTACTTGTGTAAAGCACTTAGTAAGATTATATAAACTAGTCAAGATTGGTTACTTTACCTATGTGAATTAACTTGAGGGGAGCAAATATTAGAGCTAGGATAGAATGAATATGATATATGATGTTTTTGGCTCTGGCCTGAGATTTTTATGAGAACGAAATAGTGATTATGAGTAGTACATTAAGATGTGATTATGTAATTCTTAAAACAATATATATTATGTCATTTTGATTTGGTCACAACTTATAGAAATTAATCCTTTTAAAAAATACCCGCACTGTTCCTATTTTTATTTCTTTTACTTGTTTTCTTTGATTCCTGACTCGAGAAAAGAATTACTATTAAATTAAAATAGTTACCTTTCAAACTTGAAGGATTAAAACTTTTTCAACAAATTTGCAGGTCTATAATGAACAAACAAGTATAACAAAAAAGTTACTTAAAAATATAATGGCTGTGCTTAGGGAATTTCTTAATTTTGGTTCAGTGCAATGATTTATTTAATAATTTTGAAATGAAATCACAAAGTAAATCTGACTAGCGTTGCTTTTCCTTTTGGGATTTAGAGAATCATGAAGGTTAGTTTGGCTAATTTCAGGAAATGTTACTCATGTATTTAAAAGATAGAAGAAACTGTTCTATATGTAGTTTGTAACTTCAGTTTAGTTTTAAGTGGTTGAATGTCTCAGATGACAAGATGGTTAAATCTCAGAAGGTCTGACCCTTCCCTACTGTCATGTGATTTTTTTTTTTTTCTGACCTATGGTGTTTTAAATATTTATTTTTAGTTACCTGAGTGTTTTGTTGTTTAGGATTATTCCAACTCATTAGAAAGAGAGAAGGGAAAATAAATTTCAAATATATTATGCTTCCTGATAAAATAAAACTTTTTAAAAGCTTTATTTCACAGTTAGTTAGGATCTGGTTAGTTTAATGAAATATAGTTTCTTGTTTGTGTTGCATATTTGTAATACCCATGATCTGTGGCTCATACAGGAAAGTGAGTCTGTAGGTCATGAAATTCCTTATACTCATGGAATAAGTGAGCTTTCCTAGGGCCCAAACAGAATTTTCTGTTAAATTTTGAAAAGTTAAGTGCTTTTGAGGCATTTCAAGCTTATTAAATATTTTCATTTCAAAAGAATCTCCATGTAATAAGTGGTGTTTATTTAGTTGTTAGTCCATCTAAAGAGATAAAATTTTCAATCTTTACTGAATGGATATTGCAAAAGTAGGTAAAACTTTTTAAAAGCCAATCTTCAATATGTGAATAAAATTGTATAGTTAGAATCTTAATTTTGGGCAAGAAAATCTTATTTTTTACTGTATACTCCAGATACTATACTGTGTACAGTATATATGGTATAATCCAAATACAATAAAATTAGATCTTCTATTATCGTTCTGTTAAGAGAGAGATTTATCAGTGAACTTAAAAATCTTACTGTAGCCTGGTTTTCCTTCCCCCTATCACAAATCTAACACATTGGTCATTTCTTTGCTTCCTAATAAATATCTGTTGAAAGAAGACAAAATTTAAAACTTCATTGCTGTTTGTTTTAAGCAGCATTTTTGAGGGAAGAGGTCAAAACTGTTGACATGTATATATTTTTTTATGCTCTGCCTTTTCTCTCCACTTGCATTTTATCATCTTGTTTTTAAAAACTCTCACTTCTCTGATAAGTGTAATTTGGAATTAATTTTATAGGGACAAGTATAATTTAGAATTCCTTTTATGGGACATCTTTTTAGAGACTTTGCAAGGAAAAAATAATCTTAACAAATTTCTCCCCCAATAATGGATTTTGAAACCAGTATGACTCTTGTGTAGCTAAAAGAATTTAAATGTATAGCATTAACATTTTGCTTATGGTTTAGAACTGAATTTTGTTTACACTTAGCTGTCTTTTAAAGATAGGCTGCTGGAGGAAGTCAAAAGGTCATTGGTTTCTTTCTTGTATCAGAAAGCAAAATTCTATCAATCAAAAATTTAGCAATTTAGTCACTATTTTCTTTTCATAACAGTTTACCTTTGCAGTTTCTCTAGTGTGTAAAAAGTTACCTTACCCTTAATGCCCAATATTTGCTTCTATAAAAACCTTGCTTTATAGACATACAATGTTTTTCTATAAAACATGAAACGTTCCATGTTGTCTTTGTAGAGCATTGAACCAGTTCCTCAATGCAGAGCAGTTGTAAGAATTGAGGGCTTTCTATAAACCAATCAGGTCTAGGTAGAAATTCAACAACAACAACAACAACAAAACTACTGAGGGACCAGAGATATCAAAGCAGCTCTCATTACCTTGTAAGTCATTTAAAGACATGTTTATCATGTCATGCCTGTTAGCACATCTGGATTTTTATGTTCACATGCCTCAGTCCAGAATGATGTAGGAGTATCCTCGACATTGCAACTCCAATCCCCATGGAAAAGTTTGTTCCTCACTGTCCCTGAGTAGGAGACCTAAATAGAAATTTGCTGAGAGTCACAGCCCTGATACACATTCCATGGGTTCTACATGTTGCTTTTCCCTTGTTCACATACTAGTTTGTAGTGTGGCATACATGTATGATAGAAATTAAAATGATTTGGGGAATTAGACCCCATTTTTATTACACATTACTTCTTGATTCCTGGCAATTCGGTATATGGTTAGATGTCCCAGGTATTTTTCTGATAATTCTTCTAGGTAAATTGTGGAATATTTTTACCTTTATGTTTAAACATGCCTCATTCTTAATTGACTAGTTACTGCCTCCTGTTTCGTTTAAGTATTTAAGATAAGTTTAAGAGGGTTTTTCTGAATAAGGCTTTTTTTGTGAGTTGAAATTTTCTGCCCTAGTTATGTTGTTTCCCCCATTAGGTTCTTAATAACAGTCTATAGAAAATTATCTTCAGTATCTTGACTATCAAAGACTTCAGCACACTCATATTAGGAAATTTGTCAGTCTTCCTTTATGGAAGGTAACTGTACATTACTAAACTTATATAGGGTAATTATTTTGAGCCTGTTAGAATATATAAGCGTACTTACCCTATCCATTTACCTTTCTGTGCTCCCATTTTGCTTATTAATCTTATATAAAATGGCTGTTTTGTCTTACTCTCTTATTATGAATCTGTCACATGGTTTTTGACATTAAAATTCTTGTGCTTTGCCTAATCATCCTGTGACTCCTTGATTGTTTATAGAATGAAGATACTACCTATGCTTGTGTTACTTAGTATTGCCAGGGATTGTATACATTCAACTGAGTGGGGAGATTCCCAAGTTACTCTTAACTCATCTTTCTTGAGCTTCTGTTGATTAAAAAAAAGCTAGGTCTTGCAGACTACCTTTTTCCTTACTCAACATATATACATATATAAAATTTTAGTTGTCTGTTGTTGCTTTCAGTTAGTATTCTGTTAATGATAAATTGAAATTTATTGCTATGCTCATATTAGCATGGGGAAAATAATTAAATATTAATGACATTATTGTTTAGTTTTCTTTTGTGGCATATTAGTATATCACCTGTGGACATTTAAATGATAGATTATTTGTATGATAGGCAAATAGCCTAAAGAATGTTTTCAAAGATGGTGCAGTGGTCATTAGAAACCAGATGAAAAATTGTATAGTCCTTATAACCATAGCTATGTAAATTTTTTTTGTATATGCATAAAAATATTTGAAGGAAATTCCTTAAAGTGCTACTATGTTTATTTCTGGCAGCTGCCATGTGAAACTTTATTTTTTGGATCTTTCTGAACCATTTAGTTTCTCTTAATATACTAAATTTTAGACCTTTTCTTAGGTTTTAAGAGTGAAGGGTATTTAAAAATGTTTGTATCTGCAATGCAAAGTTACAAGGATCATTGTTTATACATGTAGATGCTTATGTGTATCAATTTTAGCTGGCTTTTCTAAAATTTTATTTCATTTTCTTTTCAAAATTGGCTTAAGAAGTACTCTTTTGCTATCATGACAATGATCATGAAAATTGTGTCTTTTTTAAGATTAAATGTAAAGCATAGTTCTGTTATGTTATTGTTATTTAGCGATGGACCGTGTATATGCACTGTAGTTCCTCAGAGCTTTTACTGTTAGTTCATGGGATCCTAAAGAGATACTCATATTTTTAGAAACTCATTTAGAGAGGGTTTCTAACCCCTCAGTTAAAAAAATATCTTATTTAGTATAAGTTTAATATTTTTGTGATGAGTTCATGAAATGTATCTTTTTTTCCCTTTTGATAGCGCTGAAACTGCATCCTAATTTTAGTGTACTTAAGTCTGTTCAGTGCATTATTTTTTAAAAATACATTGAAGTCTCACAAATGATTTAATGTTGTTATATGTGTTTGGTATTATAGTCCAAGAAACTGAAATCTGGTTTAGTTACAGCAAAGGAAAACAATTTCTTTAGGGCAATCCAATAGATGCAGACTCAAGAAACGGTTGACCTGTGTGTTTGAGTTGCCTTGGTTGGGGAGCTGCTTATGTGTATAGGAAAATCGAGAGAGTGCACACTCAGGTCTGCTTTATGCAAATACGGTTTTTCATTTAGTACAGTTCTGATTGGTGGAAAGTTCACTAAGGGATGATTGGTTGAATTTCAATCCTGAGTGGTCTTTGGCCTGCTGGCAGGGTTTCATTTTCTTATGGATGGACATTTTTGTATGGATGGGCTTGCCTGGACATGCCCTGGGACACCTCGGTCCAACCATCTATAGCTTCCCAACTCTGGTTTTTACCTGAACTTAGGTAGCTCCATTTTGGTTCTTCTTTTTTATATTACCTATTAGTA